CAATTCAAAGGCCCTGAATACCACAAAAATGTTCAACAAAAAATAAAGTAATAAGTTATAGTATTTAAAAAATAGCTTTGAAAAGAAATATTGGAGATAACACTTAACAGTACATTAGGTAGAAAACAGGGAAAAAATAATAAGGCAGAGCAATTATTTATAAATATAATTATTTCTAAATATAAATATCATAGATATTTTATTATTATTATTTATAAATATATTTAATATATTTTTATATATTATATATTATATTTAGTATATATTATTATTTATAAATATAAATATCATGAATATTTATGCATTGATGGGATTAGAATAAAAGTGATATCCTTTTTAAACAAAGTTTTCTACAGCAAATCTGCCCATAAGAAAACAATCTCAATTAGCATACTATCTACTTTCTCTTGTTTCCTGAGCAAGTAGCCACATGACACCCTTTACACTATAAATAGGATAAAAGGGACCTGAAAAACTTAGCAAATTCTCAGAATTATAAAACCAGTGGTATTGCTCAGGAAGCATATATGCCTGAGGGAATCATTTATAGCTAAGATATATTTTAATAAATTGATTTTCAGTCATTTTCACTGCTATTCAGAAGAATAAATTGAACAAGAAATAGTTTTATCCATGACAAGGTTTAGAAAGCATTTTGCGAACATGATATTGGGTAGTAGGACCACAGACAAAAAACTTCTAGTACTGAAAACAATCTCAAGATAATTGATTCCAGGGGCCCCAGGACTCTCATTAAAATCTTCATGGTTCTGAGATGCACCTATAAGGAATGAAGAAAATGCTGGTTTCGTGTTAAAAGAGGCTCTAATTTCAGAGGGAGTTTATCATAGATATTCAAAGGGGGAAATTTCATTAAAAATGTATCATGAATTATGAGATATATAAAGTGACATGAACAATTTGACAGAGCACCTAGGGGTGAAACTAGTCTTCCTATGCTTCTTTGCCTCACTATTTTTTTTAAAGACTAGAAAATGATTCTCCTATTTTAGAAGGTGAGAATACGTGAAGCCTTTTTCATTACTTTCAATAAACATTATTCTATATCTTTTAGTTATCAAATGTCCATGGGTGTTACAGTTTGGTAGAAGGTTTCAAAGAAAAGTAGGCACCTGATAAAGTGAGAAGTTAAGGAAGCTATGAACTTGTTATTCTGAACAGAATGAAACCAAGAAGATGGCATGGGGGAGCTTTGAAGAACTAGAGAATATGACAACAGACCTCAGTGTGGGAAGAGGGTAAGTTTTGGGGGGAAAAAAGAAAGAAAGAAAGACAGCATCTTGTTCACCACTGTTTTCAGAGACATTATGGTGAATGTAAATAACATCATACTGACCTATCTTCTACCAATCGTGTCCTTGAATGGTATGTAGAAAGCTGAAATTAATATAACAGATATGAAAAGTATCTTAAAAATCAAAGGTTCTTAACCAAAATCGTTGATTAAGATTATGCAAACCATAAATACCCTCATACTCCTGAGATTTCTCTCCTTGGAGAGAATTACAAAAATCTTGTAGTGAGGGTAGAAAAGAGTTATTTTTGACAAAGTTCTCCTACCACTTCTGATATGTCTATTACTGGAAAACTACTTGGATTGGTTGTGTGTTTTGATTCTATAACAAATATAGGAAGCAAACCTAGTTCTATTTTTCCTAGACCTACGCAGCCACTGATCAAGTTTTGAGGAATTTTTGTTACCGTTTGTTTGTTCACCATTCATAAATTCAACACAGCAAGAATGTGAGAAGCATCTGCACATGCATTCATAATGCTAAATACCATGATTCCTAAAATCCATTTGGAGAACAGATCTTCAGTATCTACCAAAGTAAAATAAATGCTAAGTCTATCAAAGAATGTACTGGCAAGAAATTAAATGATCTAACATGAAAATCACAGAATTATTTGTGGGGAATATAGTATTCCATTTTATTCCTACATCACTGCATTGATCTTGATTAAAAGGCTACATGTCTTAGGATTAATCTGTAAGATGGAGGATACAAAACACTTTAAAACAACTCCCTGCCTGGTTTCATGTAAAAGTCATGCTTGTGAAAAAAATATTTTTTAATCTCATTACAATGAAATAGGATGGGAAAAATGACTAACGTCACTGGGGAGGTTTAGAAAGTCTTCCCAGGGCAAGTGACATTTGAATGGCTTTCTCAAGACAGATGTTTGGCATGCTGAAAAAGGCAGAACAGACATTGCAAGGAGGAAACACATATGCAAAGTAGAAGAACCAGGAAAGGGCATGCTGTATTTGTGAAACAATGGGATGTTTCAAATATACAGGAGATTAACAGTGTGAAATGAGATTGCATGCATTAGACCCTGAATTCATGCTAGAGCACCTGCACTTGGAGAGGGGAATTGTAATCATCGAGTGAAGCAAATGGTTCATCACACTCTCAAGAGCTTGCTGTAAATATACTATGCAGGCACTCACTACCTGTATCATTTTCACAAATCAATTATCTCTCAGAGCTATAGTTTTCTCATTATTATAACAAGATCATTTCAATACCACTTATCTCTCAGGGTAGCATAGCTATAAAGAAATATGAGACCGTGTAACTGAAAAATCCAATAATGAGTAGAAGTTATTAGAATTACTTAGCATGGTGATGCAAAAGTCATCAATAATGACAAGATATGGTAGATTTTATACAAAAGGTTCATATTAGGTGAATTATAGAAGTGAGAGGCACAAGCCTAGAGGATTTTGCAAAAATATAAATGAACAATAGAGTAAAATGATGGAAACATGTTCACTTAAGATTCTAGTACATATAAAGTGTGGACAAAACAACAGAGAATGAGTGATCAGGTGACTTGAAGCAAGGCCCTGAAAATGTATGAAAACCTGATGGGAAGTAAAGTTGAAGAAGGGAAGTTTATGCAGCAAGAGCACCATATACAAAGCTCTGTCAGTGTAAGGGATCAGATGTTTGGAAAATAGAGGGTTCTGTTCTGTGCTTTGAGTGGAGAGCTGGGAGAGACATGTGAGAAAAACTGAACCTAAACTATCTTGCAACCAGTTTATGAAGATCATTGAATCTCATACTGGAGTATAGCTATTCACTATTATTGACTTTATTAGTGACAATATACTCTGAATTAGAAATCTAACATCTAGTCACAGTGTGGTGAAAGACATGAGCATGTAAGACACTTATGACTAATAGACCATAGGAAGTGACATATTCACCCTGCAGGAAAGACTTATGCCAATAACGGGGAATTTTAAATCAAGCATAAAGAATACAAACACCTGGAACTCTGGAGGAGACTTATTTAAGTATAAGAAAGGTAAAATGCAATATCACAGTATATATTGTACATTTCAGTATCACAGCAGATATTGTACATCTTGGATCTTATTACTCTTTCATTTTTTATACTAGGGCAACAATATGGTATTTACAAATGTGAGATTGATTTATTTAAGATTAGTCTCAAGTTGCTTCCATTTACCTATTCAAGCCTCAAGAATATTCTTCTTTATAGCAGAGTAATATTTCATTGTCTAAAAAGACCACATCATTTTAATCCATTCCACGGTTGATGGACATTTGGATCGTTTCCAAGATTTAGCTATCACAAATTGTCCAGCACCATTAATTAAAGAGGCTGTCTTTCCTCCATGTCTCTTTGTTAGGCATCTTTGTCAAAGATAAAATAGTTGAATGTTCTTCCTCTACTCTGTTCCACTGACCCTCATGTCTTTTTCTCTGCCAGTACACCTTTTATATTCTGTATTCCAAACTACAATCGTGGGGAAAAAAACAGCAACTCTTCAAATAAAAATAGTTTTGTCTTTCCTCTTGTTTTTCTTAAACTTTTGTGAAACCTACAGAATGATTTCCAGTCAGCTTCTCTGTTTCTCTCTCTCTCCCTCTTTTTCTGTTCCACCCTTATATTCTTACTATCTCTTTTCTTTTAACAGTGACAGAAGTTAAAATCAAAATTTTATGGAGTCTTCTTGTCACATTTCGCTCACATCTCCCAAATACTTGATGAACAAACTAAATAGAAATGACTTAATAAAATGATCCAAAATATTTTATTTTATTATTTCCAGTTTATACTGCAAAGCAAACTACCTAATAAAAATACCAGCAAGAAAATATCCTAGGGATTATGCTAAAAAATCTCAAAAATTGATAATTTTATCATTACCAAAATATATCATTCTGCCATGAGACAGTACCTTCAAATTCATTTGACTTCAAGATAACCCATATTTTAGTATATAGTTGAAACAATATCAATGAAAAGTTCTTAGGAACTTTAAAAATATTAACATAAAATATAAAACTAGATTATCAAAAACTACTTAGCACACCACAAGCACTAAATATTATCATGAATCTCTAGCTAGTAAACAGTACATACTAAATTCATTTATTTGATCTAGTCATTTTCACACTTATCAGCTAGTAGTCACTGATAGTGAAGAGATCTAACTCAAATGTGATTGTACAGAGGAAAATATCAAAGTTCTTTTGTAAATTTTCACTGATTTTTCCAAAATATTTAACAGCTATATTAATTTGAAATAACTCTAATGACCATTAAATTACAAAATGTATTTGAAAAATATACCCTCACAAAATCGATTGGGTGAGAACCGAGCAATATTGTTTATATTTTCTCTTTTCTATGCAGATCCTGACTGGTAAAAAAGAAGGATGAAGAAAGCAGTTTTTTTAATACAATCAAAGAAGATATTTGGACCCACTCTATGCTACATTGATCCTCATAATAATTCTTCACCTTGCTCAAACTCTTATAATCAGGTGCATTTAACGCTCTTTGTTAGGATCCTTCATTAAAAGTTATCTTACACATGTACAGGTGCCCTTCGTTACTCTCCAGGTGACATCACTACAGAAGAATGTTTTTACAATCACCTGAGCCACGACTTCAAGCATACTTCCGCCTGTAAGTAAAATCCTGCCCCCAGGAAGATGGACAACCACACCACAGTGAGCACATTCCTCCTGTGGGGATTTTCCAGTTTCCCAGGACTAGAGAACCTGCTCTTTGTGGTAATTTTCTCTTCTCAAGTGACAATCCTACTCGCAAATATGTCCATCATGGTGGCCATCAAGTTCAATCACAACCTTCACACCCCAATGTATCTTTTCCTCTTTGGCCTGTCTTTCTCTGAAACCTGCACCACTATGGTAATCATCCCCCACATGTTAGTGGATTTGCTTTCAGAAAGCAGGACCATTTCTCTTCCTGAGTGTGCCACGCAGATGTTTTTCTTCTTTGGTTTAGGAGGAAATAACTGCTTCATTTTAGCTGCCATGTCCTATGACCGTTACATTGCTATCCACAACCCACTGCGTTATCCCATGCTGATGACCAAAAAGATCTGCTGTCAGTTTATAATGGCTTCCTGTATAGTTGGATTCCTAGTTTCACTGTCCTTTGTCATCATTATATTCAACATCTCTTTTTGTGAATCTTATACCATCCAGCATTTCTTCTGTGACATCTTGCCTGTGGCTAGCCTTGCTTGTGATTATACTCTGTATCATGAAATGGCTATTTTTATGCTCAGTGCCTTTGTGTTAGTGGGCAGTTTTGTTTTAATTGTGATTTCATATGTTTTCATTTTATCTGTAGTTATGAAGATGCCTTCTGCAAAGGGAAGGTACAAGGCTTTCTCCACCTGCTCCTCCCACCTCACTGTGGTGTGTATACACTACGGATTCGCTTGTTATATCTATTTGTGATCCAAGAGCAGTGACTCCTTCAGTGAAGACATGCTGATGTCTGTGACATACACAGTGCTGACCCCTCTGCTTAACCCCATTGTTTACAGCCTAAGAAACAAAGAGATGCAAGTGGCCTTAGGGAAAGTACTAAAGAGATGCAAGTGGCCAGCTGTCAGTTTATTTCTAGTTGGTAAATAAAATAATCCTGGATATTTTTAAATGAACAGAATTTTAATAAATAAAAGTAAAATAAGTTTAATAAAAATAACGTTTATACAAATAAATTGAAATAGTGTATTGTCTAATCTGATATATCCCTGCTTTATCATGTTTTTTAAACAGAAAATAGTTTTTAAATATTTTCAGATGTTATAATATATATACATACATCTAAGAAATTCCACAAACATATTTTGAATACAGTATTTTCATAATAGCAGTTGCTTGTAGAGAAAGAAGAAACTACTAACATTGTCTAACATTTGAACAGCAGTATATTGATTAGGGATTTCAGTAACAGTGAATTTCTTCTTTAGCAAGTATGTTCATTGATTTCTGAGCTACACTAATCTTTAGAAGACTACTACACTGAAGTCCCCCAATTAGAGAGGAAACAATAGGAATTGGCTGTAAGCAGAACTTTGATTTAACTCCAACATCGTGAGCGCCAAGGTCCCCAAACTTACAATTTAAACAAAATTGGCCAACAACAATAAAAAGTACTCCATACTGGCTCCCAGATCCACAGAATAGAGCTCTTCATGGAAAAGTCAAATTAGTGGCTCTGGAACTATTCATCCAAAACAATTTAGGAAATTAAAGGAATATCGCTTTCTTCAAGGAAATAAAAGTCAAATCCATCAGAGACATAGCACAGGAGTCAAGAAGTAATTTTAGTAGTAGATCTAAAGCAGTGAGATCAAGTTCCTAGGCAGCAGAGTGGATGTAACTGGTCCCAGCGTTCAGCGTATAGCAGGCATAGCACTCAGGGTAAACATCTGTAGTGCCTGGTTTTCAGCAGCAGCTGCACTGGTGTCCTCACTTGGCCAGTCCTTCACAGGAATTTGAACTGATTCCCCAGTTTTCTTCCTGAATGTTGTTTTCCTGAAAATATCCAGATTCCTTTCTGTAGCTTGCAATTGAAGATCCTTACTGACTGACACGCACACACTCTTAGTGATGTTTGTATAAGTTAGTAATGGATGCAAAACATATTTTTCACTGGAGTAAATTATTGCTCCTCACTCATTTATCCAGCACCACTACAAAAGGAGTTGGATATTTAAATAGGACCTTATAAGTAAATATACTGTAGATGGTATCATTTTTAAAAGTATCTTAACATTGCTAGGAGACAGAATAGCATAAAGAAAATACAAGCTCTGGGCTCAGGATACCTGTTTCAGTCACTCCTTTACCTACTTTCGGACTTTGACCAAGTTTCATAGCATTAAATATTCAAAGTCCTTGTCTATATAATGAAAATATGAGAAATTTTGATGATAAAACTAGGCAATATGTGTAAAGAGTTTAAAATAACACTTATCATAAATGCTCATTATATATTAGGTACTAAGAAACCAATAACACATAGAAAACTATTTTTAATGTTTTATTTAATTCAATATTTTCAACAAACCTCTAAAAGCACTGTTACTATCTCTGTTTGACAACTGAGGAAACAGAACCACTGAGAGGTTAGTAATTTGCCTAAAATGATAAGGCACTAAGTTGAGTCTGGATTCCACTTCCCTTTATGTGACTTCAGAGTTAATTCTTTAATCATAAAACTAGAACTATCACTAGTTTACTTCTACTGTTACTGCTATTTTTATTATCATTATTATTTCTTTCTAATAGCAGGCTGGCTCTGATCTGAAACAGAAGCATGACTTATTGCAAGCATAATCAAACACATTTTCAAGGTCATTAGGACAAATATTTCCCATCTATTTGAAGGTTATTTACCTGAAACTACACTTTGGATTTAGATTAGTTGGATCAGAGTAGATGCTTTAATGACTCCTCAGGGAATACAGCACTGTTGGCTCATAGTTTTAGAGACAATACTCAGGTTGAAGATTAGGTGAGGGATTCACATCTCCTAATTTTAGAGATGAAGAGAAGGTATCAAATTAAAGACCAAGTCTATATGGACTCACAGATAAGACACTATTTCTGCCCATCCCTGCAATCAAACCAATACAGCTGCAAGTCATGCCATATTCCCAGATAATGGACAATTGGATAAACAAAGATATCATTAATCTTAACTTTATCTATACAGTCACACCTTTGTATCTATGGAGAATTGGTTCATAATCCCCTATGAATACCAAAATCTTTGGATGCACAAGTCCCTTATATAAAGTTGTGTATTTGCTTTAAAACATCATAGCATTACCTATCATATCTATTACAAAGTTAAATGTTATGCAAATAGTTTTGTACTACATTGTTTAGGGAATAATGATCTTAGAAAGCCTGTATGTGTTCAATACAAATGCAATTTTTAAAAATAGTTTCAATTTGATTAAATTAATAATACAGAACCATAAACACAGAGGACCAACACACACACACACACACACACACACACACACACACATCATTAAAAATTGCCTTTATTGAAGTAACTCCTGACCAAAAAGATACCAGAATCTATTGCTATCTTGTTTTATGGGAAAATGCTTGGGCTTTAAACCAAATACAACAGGACATCAGCTATTGCAAGGAAAAAAAGTAATCAGCGCCTCAAGCAACTTGCCAAAAAATCAACAAATCCTTTTGGGTTCTAGTTGTGACAGAACAAAGTAGCCCTTACTGAGCTCTGGGACTTTTAATAGTCACACCCTAAAAAATTAACATTACTAAGGTTCTATACTCTAGGAAACACTTCTTCTCAAAGAGTATCCTCAGTTGAATGTGTGAACCCTATATGTACCCTTAATATTCTTCCTTCCTAAAAACTGGAAGTAAATCTCATGACCTAGTAGATTCTTAGAAACAATTTTCTCTTCTTTAGAATCTCACTGGAACCTACCTGACACTCCTGAATTAGGAACTTTTCTTTCCTACTTTTGCTGAGCAAGATGATGAAGTGTGAATATTAGCTCAGAAGTGCCATGGTCAGTTTTCTTCACAGAGGCGCACACTGTCGGTTTCTTCCAGTTTCTTCCTCATCCGGGTACTCACTTACCAGATGTTCACCTCCTATAATTGTGTCCTTATGGAATAAGAATTCCATAGACAAATCATTTCTTACTGAAAAATACACTGGAATAACCAGACCAGTCAGGGAAAGACAAAAACAAAGTGTGACACACATGGCAGTAGTTCATCTGACTCTCTGCCTCTGTTCCTTAATCCCACCCCTCTAGTCATGACTCATAATGGTGTTCAGTCACAGGGACACCCGGCTGGGATCAAACACAGCATTTGCAAAATCACAGACCTCTTCAGTTAGTGACTCAAATTTGTCCTTCACTCTCCAACATACTTAGCCTAGAAATCTTCTGCCCTTTCCAGAATGAAAATTAACAGACCCACCTTTTACAAGTTACACGAAATGGCAAAATTTACTAGAAACGCTACTAGATACATATATATCTATCTAGATATATATATATATAGATATAGATATAGATATATATATATCTACACTGTAGATCTGATATATATATCTACACTGCAGATATATATATATATATATATATATATATATATATATATATCTACACTGCAGATCTGACCCAAACATTCTTCTCTTCCAGTTTTCCCCTCTTCTGGGTGAATTAACAAATTTGGGAAATGCAAAGGTATAGGAGATGTGCTTTCTAATTTGAGAAAGCTCTGCCTTGCCTTGAATTCCAAGGTTGAAGACTGTATTTTTTACTTTAAGGGCCTAGAGAACCACGTTCTAATGCTTTTTTCCTTATGCCATGAGAAAAGACCAGATGCATTAAGAAATTCACTCCAACCACACCAGCAAGCATTGGCTGACCCAATTTCAACCCAGAAAGAAAGGAGGAAGAGAGAAAGACAGGGAAGGAGAAACAAGGGACCATTACATGATAAATACGCAGGTCAAGATTGCAAAGGAAAATGTCTAGTATGTGCATCCTAGTCTACAGTCTTTGTGTATTCTTATCTAGCCTCCATAGAACATACTTGGGGCCCTCACCCCAACTGCTATTTCAAGGTCACCTGTGGCAGATGTTCCAACATGGGCAAGATACCTGTATCTTAGCATAACACAGAAGTTCTGGACTCGGGAGCCTTTCCGGGAACAAACACCAAAGCATCACAACCTGAGTCATCATTATCAAAAGAACGACTCAGGGATTTTAATTCCCAAGAGTAATTTAATTCAAATGTAAAGCATCTCATAGAAACTCTGTATAAACTGTTCCCTTGGTATCCAGGGAACTGTAGAATAACAAAACATAGCAGACTCATTACATTTTAATTTTATAAATACTCAGGTTTGTCCGTGTGGAACATAGGAACTAAGCCTTACAGTCAGACATGAAGAGAGACCTGTTTTGTCAAAGAGGAAATACACTCAGTGGATGCTTTCAGGGCATCAAGAATCCTAATTTCGACTAGGTGCTTGGTAAGTTGTATTTACTTCTACGGCTCACACAGCAAAACTCACACAGCACCCCGTTTTGGGACTGTGAGACAATGACGTGTCTCCCTTCTGTCAGAATAGGATGTGAAGGATTGGTTAACTCTCACTTGGAGAAGCTGAGATAATTTTCCTTGTTTCCGTCTCAATGAATTATTCGATGAGGCAACAAGAGCAGAAATCTGGCAAACTCTTGAAGCCTATGAAATTGTATATAAAATTTTATATGAGTGAAACTTTCCAATTTAGCCAATTAGTCCAATTGGCTCAGCCAATTTAGTCCTACCTTTTTACTGTCTCTACTAACATCTTTACCTCATTGCACCATTGGTAAGCAAACATAATGGCAAGTTTTGCTTTCTTTTTTCTCTCAATTACATTTACTTTTCAAAAACATGATAGATGGTAGACAGAGATATCTATCTTTCATCAGACTCTCACAACAGTTGTGGGCTGTACACCTTCCTAAGTGGAAAATGTTTCTTAGGTTACTGAACAAAGTTGTTTGAATCATTCACACATTATGGATAATGGTTAGGAACACAAAACAACATTCTGAATTATTAAA